GCTCTGGGCTGTCCGCTGCCCGCGTGCTCCGCCGCTTTGCTTTCTCTCCCTGGTCTGCTGGAGACCAGGGAGAGGGCCCTGTTCGTAACTGCGGATCCGACGTAAGTCGGATCCGCGTAACTCGGGGACTGCCTGTAAAGATAAAAATGAAAAGACAAGTATGTAGAGCCCACTAAATTTTAAAATATATATATTTCAGAGTGTTGTTTTAAACGACATTTGACTCTGTTGGCCATGACTTCTCTAAACAAAACCCAACACATTTGCAAACAAGTCTAAAGAAAACTTTTCCTTTTATCTGCCTGTTTGCTGTTGGTATTAGACTAGTGTCTTAGTTTAGTTATTCGGTATGATGGCAGTACTATAAGAACTCTGCAGATACATATGTAAATCTCTACAGCTCTAGAACAAATTGTTCACTGTGATGGGGTGTACCTGACCTTTTGCGGCCCCCGTTGGAGGCCCGGAGGTCCTACTACACTCTGCTCCAGGAAGTAACAATGAAGACCAGCCCTCCAGGCCTGCCTAGAAAAGCCAAAAAGCAACCAATCAGAGCCCAGCAGGCTCAGATAAAAGGAGATGCAGGGGCCTAGGAAGTCACTTTGTGGCTGGGACCAGAAAGCTGAGGAATGGGTACTTTTCTCTGGAGAAAGAAGCTAAATGGGACCCAAGAGGGGAAAAAAGACCTGAGAACTTTAACTCTAATGGGCAAAAGTCAAGGGATCAGACAGGAAGAGCCCTAGGGAATGCAGCAAAAACTAAGTGAAGGAAGCAGTATGTGGCTGCTGTATATTGGATTCCTGGGGTGGAACCCAGATTCCCCCAATAGCCAAGTGGCCAAAGCACAAAAGGGAGACAAGACTTCTTCAAAAGCTTGAAAAAAGGGCTAAATTGAAAGGTTTCAGTAGCAAGGCTGAGGACCTGGTGAGGGTAGATAGTTTGGAGAACTAATTTGCAACCCCAAATTTTTCAACACTGCAACTGGGCTGAAGAGCTTAGTCACTGAAGATATGTCCTGCAAGGTCAGCAACCTATGGGGGTACCATGAGCGGGATACAGATTGCAGAACTACATCCTGCCATCAGGTGACACTCAAGAGATGAATGTCTTGTTACATGCACCATCGAGTTTAACTTTTCCTCCTCTGTCTTGGCTTTGCTTTTGTGTTAATAATGATTTCCTGCAGCCGTATTAAGTCATAGCATTAAGTTATTTATACAGTTCATATTTAAAAACTGCTATTGCTAGATAGGATTTCTTTTGAAACCTAAAGATATTTACCTGGAGATTCATCAGGATTAGGATCAAAGTTAAGCCACTCCACACTTAGCGGATATGCAGGTAAGAGGATATCATGGTGTACATAAAATGAATCCTCTTCATGATTATAAACTGAAAGAGAATTTGAAAAACATTATGTCAGTGGTGAGAAAAATAAGCCACTCTATATTAGGGATGTTAAATTTAAATGAATTGGCTAATCAAACAGTCAATGCAATTTGCATCGACTATTCGATTAGTCGATAAAGGTGCCTCCGACTTCAAAGTGTAGCAACAGCCCCAGGGCGAAAGGCAAAAGCGCTGTGGGGAGCACGGGTCCAGCAGGGGAGTCGCCAGCTGACCCCATGCTCTATGCAGCGCTGCCGCTTTGAAGCATCTCCTTTTCACTGAGCCTTGCTGCCTCTGATAAAGGTAGCAAGGGGGAGAAGCAACTAGTCGACTATTGCTTATTGGATAGTCGACCAGTCATTCACATCCCTACTCTATATAGTACATTCCCACACAGTTTGCTGGAGCAAGTACAGGTTGGACCTCCCTGATACAGCACCCCTGGGACCTGACTGGTCCCAGATGAGGGATTTTTCCAGACCACAGGAGGTCATTTCTGGACCCCTGCCACCAACTCTGCTGGCCCCCAGTTGCCACCCTTCAACCGGGACTCTCTGGTCTTGGAACATCCGTTGTCCTACTGGACCATGGATGTTGCCGGACCAGAGTCCTGGTTTAAAGATGTTCAACCATTGTTAATTTTCTCAACGTAGAGATAATGCCCAGAAGCTATATTGGTGATGCTGTCAGTCTCTAGCACAGAGTCAAAGCCTCCCAGCGTAATGTTAGGCACCACAAAATATTTTCTTTAGGTAACAAATTTGGACAGAAGAATGATGCATCAACATCAAATACAGACTGATTCAGTTTATGCCTTGCACACCATCATCATCTTTTTGAAACTGTTGTTTTAAAACATCTAGTACATAGAAGACCCTTAAAACTCACATCTACTATATACTTTAGAGAGAGTTTGTGTCCCCATCCGCCTGTGAGTCCATTTGTTCAAGAACTCCTCCTAAACGGTACGAGGTAGGACCACCAAATTTGGCAAGCAGTTTCCTCTTATAAACTAAAGCAAGGTCAGGATTTGGTTGTGCCAGGTTAATGGGATGTGCATGGAACGGGACTGTTTTGTATCAAACAGAAAGGAAGGGGTGTGATAGCAGGGACAGTTATACTCATGCATGACCAAAGTGGGACTAGCCACCAGCCAGCACCAGCAAGTGGCCTGACCCCCTCCCCCCCCCCGCTCCCAGGGAAGGCCGGCAGATCGCCTATGTGACACTGACCCCCCCCCCCCCCCCGCTCCCAGGGAAGGTCAGCAGATGGCCTATGTGCCAAGACCCCAGGGAGCGTGCCCCACCCACCGCGCCCAGGGAACACTGGTGGTTGGCCTCCCTGCTGTACCTGGGGAATGCTAGTGGGGATGTGTGCTTCCCCTTTGACTCAGCCCCGGGGAGCAGCCAGTGGGCATGGTGCAAGACTCCCCACCCAGGGAGAAGCCCTGGCCCAGCTCGAGGGAGAATCCAGCAGAACCAGCACAGCCCCCTCCCACTCCATGCTGGCCCTAGGAAGAAGCCGGTGACCACCCAAATTCTAAGGTTCCATCCCCTCCCCTGACTCCTGCACCCCTCCCACTCCCTACTCACCTTGCCATATCCCCCAGGCTCCTGCCCTGAGGTCCCCACATCTGCAAGACCCTACCTTGACTCCTGCACCCCCCACACGGCCAGCACCCTACCCTGAAGGACCTGAGCAATGCTAGTTGTCTTCTAGTCTAGTGTATTTATAAAATAAGAATGAAAGAGTATTACTGATTAACTGATGTTTCATTGTACAGGCACCCTGTATATTAACACAGGGTTAACAATTGTTGAACAGTTATTTTACAGAGGTAATGACTCAAAAAATGTAGTTGTGCCAGATGCCCCCTTCCATTCAAAACCCAGGATAAATGGAAAACAACAGAGGGAGCAGTCCTGTAAAGCCACAGGGAGCAGACTAAAAAGTATTTTCCAGCCCTGCTTTTCTGAACAAATACAGTTTACTTACGGTGAACTTCTAGACTGCAGTGGTCCTTATCAACCCGTCCACAAACAATTAGATTGTCTGTAGGCTTGATCAAAAAGTCTTCCTGTTCATATTGCTCCTATAGGCGAAGGAGAGAGGAAACATAACAAGTTTAAAAAAACAAATTATCTGAAGCAGAGAATATTAACCTTTACCACTAATTGAAAAAGGTCACAGAAGGGTGACCTTTCAGCAGTTATATGTTTACACAAATACAGGAGGCCCCCGACTTATGACCGCCTGAGTTCCGACTCCCCGCAGTTACAACCATTTTTGTAAGTGCGTAAAGGGTTGAAACTCCCTGATTTACGTCCTCGGCCCACATTTGCAATGACACATGGAACCTATCATAAATGAGGGAACCAATTGCGTCACAAATTGGGGGCCTCCTGTAAATGCATTTTAACATTCCTCCTAGGTACCTCCCTCTACATCATGGAATGCATGATCCTGGTGAAGAGGAGAAAGAAGAGTACTAGGGAAGAAATCCAGGACTTAGCAAGCAGCTATAACTTTTGAGAACTTTTTCTCACTGAGATCCAGTCTTGTGAGTAAACATTGCCAGCATCCCTTGAGTCTATCTCAAGCACAGTCAATTGTCATTCTGAACCTGCTGAGCTAGTAGCTGAATCTTTCCTTGGTGCCGTGGCAATAGCCAGTGTATGGCTTCATTAGCCAGGGAAGCAAGGAGTAGGTCAGGTGCCTCAGGATCTCTATCACCAATGAAAGCCCACCTGTTGGAATTCCTGCTTGCAGCTTTCTGAACAATCCTGTGTTCTTAAAGATACAAGTATCATGCATCTCCCTGATTAGCCCACATTAACACTTGTGAAGCATCCTATGGCCCTACTGCTGTTAGATATACAGTAATGGAGTTCTCTATCTACTATGTCCTGCATATTGTCAAGAATCACAGTCCCGAGTAACAGCAGATTAATGGCCCTACACGCTTGGACACGATAATAGCCCCTACTACAGATTTTCCAACTGCAAAACGATTTCCCACTGTCTGGCAGCAATCTGACCCTGCAAGCATCAAGAGTGCAATCATCACTTGCTTCTCAACTATCTGTGCAGCTCATTTTGGTGCCCATGTGCTGGAAGGATGGGTTGAGTCTGTCACACAGATCCAGGAACGCTGCCTTTCGGATCTGAAAGTTCTGCTCATCACCCCAAACTGACATTAGGATGGGATTTCCCCAGTCAGTGCTTGTTTCTCAGGCACAGAAACAGAGCTCCGGGCTCTGAAGCTGTTCCACGAATACCACGAACCATGACTTGTCTTTTACTACAGTCTTAACAATATATCTTTAAGAAATGATCATATCCCCTGTCAATATGGTTCTGCCCGTGGATCTGCAAATACCAGATGATCATGCATCCTATAGTTCCAATGATCAAGAGATGAGTGCAGAGTTGTGCAGGCTTATAGCTTCTGTCAGAAATAACAAACAGCAAAAAGTGTTATGCAGGTTTCTGGAATTTTTTAAGAGTGCAAAAATAAAGGCACACGTGGATAGAAAGCGTGGCAAATTGGCATAAAGCCAACCAAGTTATATTTTTCATATGCATGACGCCTAGTTCCCAGGATATCTAGGCAAGTCATTTTATCTCACTACACATTGTAGAAAATTCCCAGAAGGCATTGTGTCAGACAGCAACATGAAGTACACTGGGACTGCAAAGCACAGTACATAAGCACTCCTGCAAAGTACACAGAGCACTGATAAAAGCAGCCAAGTATACACTCACAAGCAATTTTGTAATTTGGGGTTCATGCCAATTTAATGTGTCAACCAAAGTCTGTAGTAGAGGTATGGCCTTAGGTGTCTAGGAATACTGCTAGGAATCCCATAAGCACTTTTTAAAATTGTATGTAGGATTTAGTTTATGCTGTTTAAGATACAAACACCTTCAAAGACAGCACAAGATTTAAAAAAAAAAAATACTTACAGTATCTTTAATGGTGACATAAGGATCATGTTCATTACTCCCATACACTGTAAGACCTGCTAAGGTATCTCCAAGGCTAACTGTATCTATAATGAGAATTTCAGTGTATCACAGTTATTAACAATTAAGGGGCATTTCTTGTCTACATGGCAATTTTTAGAGCATTAGCATCGTCTTGCTAGCTTGAGTCTGTTGACAGAGGTTGGGATACTTGCTGCCATGGGCTGTGTAGACCAACCCTAAGAGAGCTAAATCTTTACCAACATAGCTTGTTCCCTTCCCACATGCAAGGTGCAGCATGCTTCCTACACAGCCTGAGCACCTGCCCCCCTCCCCGCCCCCTTTGGAGTGAAGGTTTCACAGGAGGGGCTGCAGGAGCTTTGGAGCAGGGCAGAGCTTTGGGGGGAGGGGGGGTGGCAGAAGCAGGGCAGGGAGGCACTCATGGGCGGTGGCTGAAAGCAGAGCAATACAGCTCAAGGCTGCTTCATTTCGCTGGCTTCCACCCATGTTGCTCAGAGAAGGCAGCTTGGGAGAAGGGGTTGAACTGCTCCACACATTCAATAGTGGCAGCAGGAAGCACAGCAATTTGACTGGGGTCAGGTCATTCTACTTCACGCTACCCCTGGTTGAGCACAGGGGCAGGTCCCATCTCTGCTGCCAATACTAGTCCCCCTCTCTTCCCACTAATCCCTTGGGCCACATCTCTTGGGGGAGGGAGGGGAATGGAGGTGGGGAGGAGCAAGGGAGAACCAGGGAGCTTGTCTCAGGCCCAACTCCCTAGGGATGTCCCTGGTGGGGGCAGCCAATAGAGGGCAGGGAGAGGGAAGGGAAGAGAATGGGGTGGCCACTAGAGTTGGTACATTTGCCAGTGTTGGCTGCCTGTTTGGTAGGGATGGCCCTGGAAAGGGCCAGTAGCTCCATCTACTCCATTTCTTAGCTCCATTCAGATTACTCCCAACTTCTACCTGAATATGGGCAAATGGGCCTTTGAATCCTGAACTTGAAAGCACTTGTTAAGGAAACCTGTATAGCTATAGGCTACTGTCATGATTAGCGCACTGACTTAATCTAACAGAGATTCTTCATTTACTCTGCACTTTTGATGGCAGAAATAGATTTACCTTACCCGCATTCTCCTCTTCATCATATTTATCCAAAGCATATTCTGCCAGCTCATCATCATTCAGTTTTTCAGTGTCTTCCTCCTGGTCCCTATCTGCTTGTGCACGTTCAACTGCCTCACCACTAGCAACATCCATGCGGCCTTCTGCAGCCTGTCCATGTTCTTCTTCATCACTGCTATCTGCTTCTTCTCTGTATAAGGAGAAAACATTCACTGCATTATCAGTGTGGGTTGGTTAAGAGTTTGGGACATTTTCACTACTTTGCTTGGGGGACTGGTAATGGGCACTGGAATATTAACTTCCCTGCTCACATGATTTCAGTTACTGTCTCTATGCCAATGACTCTCAAATCCATATTTCCACTCCTTTCCTGTTTCTTTGTAGCCAGACCAGCATTTCAGCCCACCAATGATCTTTTCTCTCTGTCTTCCTGAGAGACTACAACTTATTTCTTACACACAGATGTGTTTGATCTTGGAATCCTCCATCACACAACCCCAAACTGTATCCAAATCTTGCTCTTTCTTCCACCACATTTTAAAGTCTAATCTTCCCGCTATGTCCCATAAGCTGAAATTCTCATTTGTGTTTTCACTAGAAGACTTACCCAACGTTGTCTGGGTCCAACCCAGGGCAGCAAATCCTAACTGCTGACTTCTCCCCAGATCAGCCTGGGCTGGGGGAGGAGGCGGGCAGAGGAGCTTATGCCCTGGCTTCTGCTCTTCCTGGTCTGGCCAGAGGAAGGAGGGGGACCCATGTCCCCCCAGCTGTCAGTTACACTCCAGGGCTGGCTCAGGGGTGGCGTGGGGCCTGGACTGGGGGAGGAAAGAGCCATGCAGGCTGCTCATGTGCACTCCTGAGGGCAGGCTAGGGTGTCAGCTGCTACCAGCCAGTGGCTTTCTGCTGGGGCATCTTCTAGCACCCTGTGATCATTCCACAGTATAACTCCCTCCTACTTTCCCTCACTTTCCATTTTGAGAGAAACAGTTTATTTCTAGGCACATCGCATTGTCCTGGCATAATCAAGACCATGCTTTAATTTAGGACCATCACATTTGGTATGCAGCTTCCTGTTATCCTATCTCTTATCGTTTAGGAAGAATTCTTGAACAAAAAGGACTCACTGATGGACAGACATACATTTTATATATATATAAAATCCAGTCTATAGGAAACTATAGACGAGTCAGCCTCACCTCAGGCCCCAGAAAAATCCTGGAGCGGAACCTCAAGAAATCCATTTTGAGGCACTTGAAAGAGGGGAAGTGATCAGGAATAGTCAACATGGATTCACCACGGGCAAGTCATGCCTGACCAATCTGATTAGCTTCTATGATGAAGTAACTGGCTCTGTGGATATGGGGAAGTAGGTGGATGTGATAGATCTTGACTTTAGCAAAGCTTTTGAGACAGTCTCCCACAGTGTTCTTGCCAGCAAGTTAAGGAAGTAAAGACTGGATAAATGGACTGTAAGGTAGATAGAAAACTGGATAGATTGTCAGGCTCAGCGAGTAGTGATCAACAGCTTGGTGTTCGTTTGGTGGTCGGTTTCAAGCAGAGTGCCCCAAAGACTGGTTCTAGGGCAGGTTTTGTTCAACACTTGTGGAGATAAGATTAACATCTACGCGGAACAGGGCTTTCTCAGCTTTTGCTCCCAGGCTGTGGAATTCTCTTCCTCAGGATAGTCACATAGCGCCAACGCTAGTGTTGTTCCAGTGTCAGGCTAAAGCCACCATTTTTACTCCTGCTTTTATTAATGTTTGAGTCTGTATGTGTGTGTTCCTCCTCTCTCTATGTTTTTAGCTGGTTATGTCCCTCTGAGGTCTCATATTTTAAATTTTTAATATATATTTGTATTTTTTTTTTGTTTGTTCTTGTAAGCTGCCTTGAATATTTTAAATAGAAACGCGGGGTAAAAATATTTAAATAAATAATAAAATAAACAAACATCTTTATTAACGATCAGATTGAGGAGCCAGATTGCACTCTCAACAAGTTTGCAGATGCCACTAAGCTAGGGGGAGATGTAGATAAGTTGGAGGGGAGGGATAGGGTCCAGAGTAACCTAGACAAATTGGAAGATTGGGCCCAAAAAAATCTGATGAGCTTCAACAAGTGTAGAGTCCTGCACTTTGGATGGAAGATTCCCAAGCACAGTTTCAAGCTGGGGACCAACTGGCTAAGCAGCAGTTTGGCAGAAAAGGATCAGGGGATAACAGTGGATGAGAAGCTGGGTATGAGTCAACAGTGTGCCCTTGTAGCCAAGAAGGCTAATGGCGCATTAAGAGGAGCATTGCCAGCAGATCTAGAGAAGTGATTATTCCCCTTTATTTGGCACTGGTGAAGCCACATCTGGAGTATTGCATCCAGTTCTGGATCCAGTTCTGGGCCCCCCACATTAGAAGGGATGTGGATGCATTGGAGAGGGTCCAGCAGAAGCAAACCAAAATGATTAGGGGGCTGGAGCACATGACCTATGAGGAGAGGCTGAGGGATTTGGGCTCATTTAGTCTGCAGAAGAGAAGAATGAGGGGGAGATTGGATAGTAGCCTTCCATTTCTTGAAGGGAGGTTCCAAAAAGGAAGGAGAGAGGCTGTTCTCAGTAGTGACAGAGGGCAGAACAAGGAGCAATGGTCTCAAGTTACAGTGGGAGAGGTCTAGGTTGAATATTAGGAAAAACTATTTCACTAGGAGAGTGGTGAAGTACTAGAATGGGTTACCTAGGGAGGTAGTGGAATCTCCATCCCTAAAGATTTTTAAGTCCCAGCTTGACAAAACCCTGGCTGGGATGATTTAGTTGGAGCTGGTCCTGCTTTGGGTAGAGGGTTGGACTTGACTTCCTGAGGTCTCTTCCAGCCCTAGGATTCTATGATTCATTATAGTAACCTCTCCAGTATCCCCAACATCAACCCCCCCACACTTCATCCTCCTAAAATGCAGCAGCTAAAATGTCTCCCTGCCTGATGTGACCACTCCAGCCACTCTCTGAAGGACTCCAGGGGCTCCAACAATTGTTTTCGCTTCCTTCCAAAAGAAGCACATACTTCATTAGTTGTGAATCAGGTAAAACTGCTATGGATACAAATTACATTTGCTACAGGGGAAAAAACCCTATCCCAAATACCCTAAACTTTCACAATGCTTCCTTTCCTAAGGCAACAATTTAGATTCTTCCAACATATAAAATACAGATGTCTGAACATCAACATGTGAACAATGTAATGATTCTTGCAGTTTTGCTTTTCGCACACCACTTTGCAGGAGGACTCCCAACTGCTAACACTGGAGAGAACTCCACAAAAGGGATGTAAGTGACTAGTTGAGTGAGTACTCAACTAGTTGCCCTCCCCCATTTCCTCTATATCAGAGGTAGCAAGGGGGAGAGCAGGAGCCAGTGCTGGGGGCGGGGAGAGACGCGGCTTTTTAAAAGCCGTATCCTCTCAGCACCATCTCTGCAGTGTGGGGGTGGGGGGCAGGAGAAGCAGAGCTGCAGCAGTCCCAGGTGTGGCGTGAGCCAGAACTGTTCAGTCCTGGCTAGGAGCTAACCCCAATGTGGCTCTGCACTTTAAATATAGCAAGAGCCCAGCAGGCTCTTACTACATTTAAAGTGCAGAGCCGCAGTGGGCACCCTGCACCGCCCCGGCTTTAGCGAGTAATCGAGTAGTCAATGGAAATTCCACCCACTACTCAGTTAATTAACTGATACTTAACATCCTTATCCCACAAGAGGCTTCTCCCTAGGGGATATTCTACTACCCATACATTCAAAACTCCTGCTGACACCAACCAACAAAGATCCAGGGTAGAACACAAGCTTGCATCTAAGAAAACTACATCTAATGCAAAGGTCTTTCAGTTTTGAAAAAGCTTGCTGAAGAGCTATTTGTGACATTTGTTTTTTAAAATATCTCTTGCCCTTCATATGACAGTAAAAACAAGTAGCAGGATAATTAAATATTCTAAATTTAAATCTGACTTGCGATCTTTGTACAGAAATAAAATGACAAGAGCACTAATGAATTCTATGAAGCACAAGATGTTAGAAAAAGGTCATAACATTTTTAGTTATGAGAGGTAATTCTCTAAGCTTCCACACTGAATTTTAAGAAATTACATTTAAGAGACTCCTCAAATCTTGCATTGCATACTTCTCAAGTAAGGGTAGGAAATCCATAAGAAAAGGGCGCATGCAGTTTACAGTTTCACATGCAAAACTACTGATAACAGCAGTAGAATTATAAACTAGTGCGGGGGAAAGGCGGAGAGAAGCGACCCATAAAAGTTAAGCTTCTTAACACAAAACACCAGAAATTCAGAAACATTTGCATTTTTAGGGACAGCCACTAGAACTTACTAAGTATGTTTTGAAAGTTCTATTAGTAAAGAAAAGGGTAAACTTAAAAAATGAAAGCTGAAATTAGGTAAAGCAGGGCTGGTGAACCCATGCAGCCCCCAGCTTGCCTGGATCCAGACCCCAACACTCAGAACTGGGGAGTCCGCACTGGCTCTCCAGCTCCCCACCCGCAAGGCTGGAGCACACAAAATCTACTAGCTTGGGCCCACCTAAGCTCTGGTGTGCAAGGGGAATGTGGGGAGTATCTCTCTCACATTCAGGGGCTTCTCACTTGTGAGTGGTCCCTGACTGATTTTTCTGTGGGTCAGCAGCCCCCTGGACCAAAAAAGGTTCCCCACCCTAAGGTAGAGGGAAGCTGACAGTATTCACCTGAGTGCACATGGAATTCCTGGCACTTGGGGGCCCCGATATGACAATCAAATTAGTACTTGCACTGCACCAATGCAGAGCCCCAGTGGGACTATGGACCTGAACACGTTTTCTAACAAATAAATGTTGTTACCTTCCACTCAGGTAAAATGAGTAGTGTGCTATTTTTCAGTGAATGTAGGTAAGTATTCTTTATTTAACAGCAACTGTTTTTCATGTCTGCAACAGTGACAATTCCAAACATTCAAAACTCATGAATCAAGCATCTAAAACTCATGAGATGGGCTTAAAATTAGGGATGTTAAAATGTGGGTTCTTTTGGTAAACCTGCAACCATGGACATTTTCAGGGGTTACACATTCACACGTGGAGGGAGGGAGGGGGAGACGGCAGTCCGTGGGACATTCCGTGTGCATATCGGCTCACGCAGAGCCACCTGCCTGCCCCCGCCCCCACGCTGCTGCCTGAGGCTTCCACAGAATCACCTGTCCCCCTTCGGATACAGAGGCCGCTGATAGCTGGGGGGAGGTGCTTGTGTGTAACCGTGAGTCAAGCTCATCAGTTAACCGTTTAACTATGTATACTATCACATCCCTACTTAAAATCACGACATTAAAACTAAGTCTGAGATTCTTTAGCGAACCTTTTTTGGGTTGGGGGCTGCTGACCCACAGAAAAATCAGTCCGGGGTGGGGGAGGCCACACACAAGTGAAAAGTAAAAAAGAAAAACTAAACCCGATACGAACCCTCATTGATGTGGCTCCTGACTGAGAAGCAGAAAGATGCTCTCCACATTCCCCTCACACACCAGAGCCTTGGGGGGATGAGGCTAGTAGATTTTGTGTATTCTAGCTCCACAATGGTAAGGTGGGGGAGCT